CAAAACCAACAATAAAATCGAGCAAAAGCGAGGAAGCCAATAAATCTGTGCCGCCAAAGCGGCTCGTAAAAATGGACAAGTTTATGTTGGGTTAAAAGAGAGGAGAAGGAGGTGATATGGGGTTTAGAGGGGTTTGTCTGCCATCGAGCAGCTGCCATTTATTTTGCAACTGGAAAAAGCTTCTCCTTAATATTACTACTTCTATTTTTTTTTAGCTTTTTCTACCTGTCGCCTGGCTGGCTGACTGCCTACAGTTGGACAGGCACTGGCAAAAGACATTTTTATGCACTTTTCTTTTTATGAGCCACAGGAATTCCCCCCCCCGCAGAAATGGGTTCAAACGGCAGGCAGGCCAGTGTAGTCGTCCTTTATAGTTAAGAGCTTGTAATATGACATCACACAGATCCGACAATGTCCTTCTCTCCTATCCACTTGCAAAATGGAAATGTTTGTTTATGCCCCACTGAACAATTGGTGGGGAGAGTGTGGAAAATCCCTGGAAAAGCGTTTTATGTGCGAATAATAAGTAACAATCATTTGTGGGTTTCTATCAGCAGAACAAACGCAACGAATGTTTGCACAAGTCCAAGTCTCCCTTTTGTGTCCTGCTCACAGGATTTACTTCATTTGTATTACTTTGTGACACAGTTTTCCTTCAGCGGCTTTTATTCGTGGATGTTCCCTTAAATTCTTTTCTTTTTCTTTTAGCAGGTGCCACTTGGACTCGGATTACAAAAGATTGTATTTACTTTCAGTGTACATATATATAAGTTTTAGCTCAATTAAACGGAACGGAACAGAAGACATAAACTCTCGTGGCATCTGTTAAACATTAAGTGACTCAAGGCGGATAAAGTTCAAAAGTGCAAAGTTCATAGCCGCTGGCCATGCCGCCCTCTTAATATAATATAATAAGTCTTAATAAGCTGAGGGCGTTCGATGTGCGGGTTAATTAAAAATTATTACCAAAGAGATTAAACGAAAAATGGGCAAAAAGAATATCAGAAAGTCAAAGTGGAAGTTGGGTTGCAGAGTGTCCGGGGTATCGGATGTCGCTGGTTCTGGGGGATATATATAATTATGCTAGATATTAGAGATTTTCTCTCCCTCTGGCTTGTATTTATTATTTTCCCAAGATTGTGATCTGTGTGCAAGTGTCGATATTATACTTAGATTGCCCTCTATTATTTACTCTTAATTTTCTCACGAGTTTTTTTTTGGAGGGGGTTTCCATCTTAATATCCAAAATGTTTACGTTTCTTGTATTTATGGGAGAAATTATTTAAGAAATTAGTTGAAAAGATACTTGGGAAAATTTATAATAAACTAAAGAAATAGGTGGGAAAAATATAAAACATTAAATTGAATTATCAATTTAAGTATGTAACTTTTACAAGTACTAAATTATTTATTTACTATATGCTCTAAAAGAATAAAGTTGGCTACTTCCTTCCTCTAAAGATCTGCTGGATTATCCTAAAGAAATTTATACTGACTCTGATTTAACTTTGGCCTTCAGCCACGTGCCTTTTATCAGTCCTCAATTCCAATTCATTTCAATGTATAAACATGTATATTTATATATATATAGTATATTTTTTCTGATTCTTATTTGTTCTGTGCTCATTTAAGCTGACCGCACGAGAAATCCAGAGTGTGGGCATATAAAATAATAGGAATTATGTTGATTAGAGAGCGTTTTTGCTGGACTCTGGTTTGCCCGGCAATCAACACCATGAGGGTGACTTTGCCATCCCTTTTTAGCGCCTTGCCAAACTATTCGGAAGCCTCAGGAAATACTTCCATATCTACACTATTCAGCTAAATATTTTTTCCTCTTTTTTTTTGCACAACTAAAATGTGGTGTGGGTGGCAGGAACAAGAGCATGCTCAGCATTCTTATAATTATAACATGCTCAGCATCCATATCAATATAGTAAAGTTGATGTCGACCCGGGCGCAAATTCCATTAGAACACACTGTGGGGAAAATGGCGAGAGGAGGGGAGGAGATGGTGTGGCATGGATGCTGTGGGGGGAGGGAAACTCTTGCTTGGAGCTGTGTCTTAGACTAAGGCCCAGCACGCACTCAGAGCCCATTTCCTCTGCAAGTTTATTCGATTAACAACAATCAGGCCAGGCCAGGCCAAACCAGAGCAGAGCAAAGTCGATTGGAGTTCAGGGAAAAGGCAGAATAGCAGGCATAAATATCACTGCAAGAATATATGTTTAATTTATAATTTAAAGAGATTTATCTTTGTGAAATTTTTAATTTGTTTTTGAAAGAGAAAATTGGACAGATTGCATGAAACATTTTTTGATAACATTCTTCATAGGAGCTATAAGAAAAGGGAACCCCTAAAGGTCTTCCAAGTACGAACTCGTGCTCCTTAAAATTCCCAAGTAGGAATTCGGCGATTCTAAAAATTCCCAAGTACGAACTCGGGCTCCTTAAAATTCCCAAGTAGGAATTCGGAGCTCCAAAAAATTCCTCAGGATGATTTAAATTCGCAATTTTTAATTCAGTGACATCAAAGTATATTTTTTAAAGACAGATCAAATAGGCAAGTTCTCTTACATGATAGTCTAGTTCTAATTAATATGAATTAAATCACACTTTGAGTTCATAATAAATTTATTTCACAAACAATAATAAAACCTTCTCACAGTGTAATACTAAATGTCTTAAATTATGATTTTCTGTTTTCATTTCAAGGTGGCAATTATTTTTCCCCCTGTGCAGGCTTTTGCCAAATGAGCAAAGGAAGCTGCCAGGAGCGGAACCTAGAAAGAGAGGGAGATAGGGAGAGAGAGAGAGAGATGGAGATATCCTGATAGAGGGAGGTAGCAAAAGCCATTTACACTTCCCAGTAATTGTAAATTATGTGCAACTTAGTGGAGAGAAGTAGAAGACTCCCAGCTCGCTGGCACTTTGGGCTCCCTCGATGTTGACATCAAACTAAGTGACACTGGGGGGGAATCAGTGGGTTAAGAAGGAGGAGGTTGTGCGGTCTGAGAGTGTGTATGTGTGTGTGTGTGGATAACTGCCAGCCTCACATGCAAATTCAATTAGCACACACAGTCTATAGTGTGTGTACATAAGTCTGTAAGTCGGGGAATTGAATTAGAAAATGCGCCAGAAAACAATCAAAAAGAAACCAAAATTGAAAAGTCTCTTCCTCGTCTCAAGTTTCAAATTTTTGCCAGTCAATCAATGGGAGGCCTCTGTTTTTTCCCTTCCGCCCTCCCTCTGAAACCACAATTAGGGTTAATGACATTGATAAATTGAAAATGCTGGTTATTGGGGTTTCTGGGTTGTGCAAAAACTTGATCAAATTCAATTATATGTATATATGTATATTTTGCCAGTCTATCAGTATCTTCCCTCTCTGTATTCTGGTTGACACATTTCTGATTTCTTTCCCATTCCTCTGAACAAAAAGCTGTCAAGTCTTAGCCATGGCCAAGTTCCAGTCGAACTGGTCAATTTTGGTGTATGTGTGGGAGTGTGTGAGCATTGAAAGTATCAATGCTAATGCCAAAACACAAATGCAAATTGCTTGTTATTTAGATAAGCTTTCCCCATATATAGGGTGTTAATTTGAATTTACCAAAAAGAAATCATAAACAGAAACTATAAAGTTAGCGAAAGAATTTAGCAATTAAGTAGCTAATTTTAGAAGTAGCTTTCTTTTCATAATTCCCTATAGAATCTTTAAATATAAACCTCTGCACCCTGTATAAAAATTATACCAAGCTTAGCTCATAGTATGCAAATCCCTAGATGGGCGTAGATTGGTCACTTTTTGTATACTAAATGGAAACTGGAACCTACCAAGTGGTTGTCGAAGCTGAAACTGAATGCCATATCAATTAATATAAATACTCGGCTCTCCCACAGATTCCATTCTTGTTGTTATGGAAATTCAAAATAATTCCAGAGTGCATTTAGTGGGAGTAATACTAGCACAAAATAGTAAAAAAGAAATGCAATTTCAAGCTAATTTGTAGCTTGATGATATTAAATGACTAGCGCAGTGAGTGGAGAAATAGAAAAGGGGTTTGTTATAAGAGTTGCCAGGGGGGGAAATGGTATTCCGAGAGATAAATCAAATGCAAAGTTTACTTGTTGACTTTGCGGACTTTGAATGGGATGTGGGCGTTGGTCTGAGGTTGAGGTTTGCCTCTCAGCAGATTTAAATGGCAAATGTATACAAAACTGGGTGGTTTTTTCGTATATAGAAAAGGACAAAAGGGTGAGGGGTTGTGGTGGGTGATGGGTGGGTTAAGCCCTTTTGCCTGTGGCTTTCGTCTATTTTTAGATGGCGAGTTTTCCTCATTTTTCGACCATTTTTGTTTGTTTGTCGCTTGCCAAGTTTTTTGGCAGCTTAAGAGCTTCAGCGACTGCATCATCGTGGCAAAGGCTTAGCAAAGTATCTTTTGACGAATTGAGATACTTAGACGAAGGATTACTTGAGCTGTAATTAGCTGTCACTCCAGCTGCGACGACTAGAAAATTTCGCACAAGCTTTTAAGGAATTCTTTAAATAAATATCACTTGTTTAATATAACATTATTTTATTTTCATAAACTTGTGTGTCGTTAAACAAATTGCTGAGGGACTAAGAGAAAGATACAAAATATAGTTATAATAGGTCTCTTCAAGTATCCTACATGTTCTTCTATATTTTTTCTGGAAATTATCCATAAAATTCTTGAACTATTTGTTTAAAAATAATGTTTAGTTTCAACAATAACCTAAAAATTCATTTTAATTATTGATATTGATATTTATAATGATATAGATGGGATTCCTCTCAGGTTTCATTTTTATTTTCCATTTAAAAATTTGTAAACTCAAATATCCCATTAGTTATGCTCCAAAAAACATTTAATATATAACATTTAAATAATTATCGATATAAAATCGATTATTATCGAGTATTATCCTTTCGATTTCTCATATATAATATATATCCATAATATAAACACTCGACTCACCGTATTCCGTTGACATGGCGCACATGGGCTGATGATGGTGCGGATGCGGGTGATGCGGATGCTGCGGACATATTCCCTCGTGCGGATGCGGTGCAATATAGTACTCCGGCGGATAGAATTCTCCCGGATACGGAATATAAAGCTGTCCCGGTGCCAGAGGCACTGGTGGCGGCGGACCGATGCCATTCGTGCCGTTACTTAGACCAATGCCGTTGCCCGAACCACCGCTGCCACTGGACAGGCTGCTAACGCTGCTAGCGGATGAGCCACCGCCACCACCACCGGCTCTCCATTCGGGGATGGAGCACCTGCACCTCCGCCATGTCCATTTTCATGTGGCGGAGGGGGCGGTAGATTCGGCGGTGGCGGCAATGGGGCATGATGCAGGGCATGGGGCGGCGGCGGCGGCAGGTGATGATGATGCTGCATTGCAGCCATTAAGGCCAACTGCTGCTGTGGGTGGTGGAGGGCGCAAACGGGCGGCACTATCTGAGCGCCCTGCGGCGGCGTGGCAGTCTGCTGGAGCAGCGGCGGAGATGCCGGCAGCGAGCAATTAGAGGAGCCCCCATCCGAGGGGGAGTGTTGTTGCTGCTGCTGCTGCTGCGGGCATGTGGCTGCTGCACGTGCAGCACTTGCTGCGGTGGCTGTTGCTGCTGCTGCACCAGCAAATGTTGCTGCTGCTGCTGCTGCGGTGGTGGTGCCGGCAACATCACCATGTTGCAGACGGCGGGCGAAGCCGGATTGCTATTCAGGCTGGTCGTCGATGAGGTGGTCGATGAGCAACTGCCGCCCGCATTATTGGTGCCACTGGTTGTACCGTTATCGCTGCTTACGACGTTGCCGTTGCTGATGTTACTCAAGTTGCCACTGTCCGCAACATTCAGTCGCACCATGGTATTTTTCGCTATACAAAACTTTGATTTTTTCTTGCCCCTCGTTCTTACCTAGTGGGCGGCCTCCTTCAGCATTGTTGCTCTCTAATTATAATGTTTTTCTTTTCTTTTGTTTATCTGCAAGAGAACATACGATGGTGTTTGTCTTAAATTAATAGGTTGTTTGGTGCCTACTGCGCCACTCTGGTGTTACCAATCCAAAAACGTTATCAATTCTTTGCTGCGATAAGGGTAGAGACGGTGTAGAGACACCCACAATATTTTTTGCCGCATCCCTGGCCCCCACCAAGTCAAGGTTATCTTCATGAAATTCCTAGGAATTCTACGCAGATTGCGCTTGATTCCTGGTATTCAGAAGTTTTTTTTTTTATAGAAACAATAATTTTAAACAGAATATTATCGGAGAAGTGGGATTTACAAGATTTTTATAAAAAGAAATCATCAATTTGAATATTTTTATTATAATGCAAATATTTTGATCCAATAGATGCTAGGTAGAAAGTTGTTCCTATGTTAAGGTCTTGAGGATCGGAGAGAGGTGCGTAAACTAAAATGTGAAAAAGTACTGCGAAACGATATATGTAACAAAATCTTATTCCTTGTTTAAATTAATTTAAGAAATACAACGAATTGTAATATTTTAATATTTATTTTATTGTCTAGGAAAACGTATTGCGTCTTAAGCAATATATTTTAACACATTTTTAAAGAAGAAGAATTTATAATGAATTTTATATTTTGCCAAAACAAGACCTTAGGTACTGATCTTGAGAAGCGCAGAGAAGGGCAGACAATATTTGAGCAATTTAAATGTTTAAGAATGTGTATATAATGCATATTTTTAAAGAAGAAGAATTTAAAATTAATTTTTATATTTTGCCAAAACAAGACCTTAGGTACTGATCTTGAGAAGCGTAGAGAAGGGCAGGCAATAATTCAGCAATTTAAATGGTTAAGAATGTATATTTTATCCACATTTTTAAAGAAGAAGAATTTATAATGAATTTTATATTTTCCCAAATAAGATCTTAGGTACTGATCTTGAGAAGCGCAGAGAAGGGCAGGCAATAATTCAGCAATTTAAATGTTTAAGAATGTATATTTAACCCACATTTTTAAAGAAGAAGAATTTAAAATGAATTTTTATATATTCCCAAAACAAGATCCTAGGTACTGATCTTGAGAAGCGCAGAGAAGGGCAGTTAAGAGACTGAGCAATTTAAATGTTTAAAATGTGTATTTGATCAAAATTTTTAAAGAAGAAGAATTATTTGAGTATTTTTATATATTGCGAAACGAGTTCTTAAGTACTGATCTTGAGAATCGCAGAGAAGGGCGTATAAGACATCGCCTAGGAAAAAGTATTTAAAAGATTCCGAAAAAATGTCTTTCATATTCAATTTTTTTTTTAAAGAAACACACCCATTTTCCAAAGATTTTTCCATTTTATTCGCTTTGATATCTTCAAGTTAAATTGATTTAATAAGCAAACACAGACCACCCGCAATGTCAACACATGTTTCGTGTCTCTAATGCACATAAAACATAATATTATAGAGCGAATATCGTGCCTCCAAAAAGACTTCCGTTCCAAATTTGTTGAATTCCCTGGAATATACACCAACAGAACATGAAAGATGATAACAAAATAAATGTTTTCAATGAAATCTAGTGCGAAAATAAATCAAATTGAAATTATCTTTCAAAATTTGTTGACAACATTGCCGGTTTTGTGGGCAATTGTTGTTATTTTTTGTATTGTTGTTGTTGTTATATTCTCCACGTTGCCTTTTGCGGGCGAACAATTGCGAATTGCAGAATTGCGCATTGTGTCAATTTGACAAATAATTGAAATATTTGCACAAAAGGCACAACTAAACAACAAAAGAGAGTGTGGGGAATATGGCGGAAACGGGGCAATGAAGGGGGCGGCCAAATGGGGAACACCCACATGCATTTGTAAAAATACAATAAAAAATAACTAAAATAAAAAAACAGGAATAACGAGACAGATAAGAGTGAAAACTAACGGCAAACGACAGTCGAGCAATGTTAATAGGAGCGGCGGCAGCAACAACAAACATACAACAAAAGGCAGCAAACAGCAGCGGGCACTTAAATGAAACCCCGCAAATAACAAAAAAAGACATAAAAATAAAGTGAGGGTAAAAAACACAAAAAAAAAAATGACGAAAGACGAAACTGCAGAACAAAACAACAAAAGGCAAAATTAAAACGTAAGCGTGTCTTAATCGTTCGATTTGGCATTCCCCCCGACTTGTTTTAAGACACTTGAAAAGATAATGTTTAAATTTGAGGTTTGAAAAATTTTAAAAATTTAAAATGTAAAAAAATATATAGAAAGTATATAATCAATGTTAGAAAACTTGGTTTAAAGTCTAAAATCGATCTTAATTGATAATGAGCTTTCTTTATAAAAATAACCCTTAAAATTCCCAAGTACTAATTCAGCTATGAAACCAACAGAATATTGAGGTTAATCTTTAGAAAGGGTATTAAAGTACATAAAATATAGGGATTTCTTTACACACATCTTTATCATATACATTTTTGTTTAATGGATTTTGTATAATAATTTATATTTTTGCTAGTGTCCCCCCATTATTACCTTTACGTGTCTCTCCCAGGTAACCCAAGGGTTAGACCTATGCTATTTTTTTTTTGTTTTTGTACCGTCTGTAAAGAAATTTGATGCCTGCGCTTTGTTGTTGGTGCTGCTTTCGTTGGGTGTTTTCATTTAGCTGTTAATGCAGCTTTACTTTAATGGGTTTCCTTTTTGGCCCTTTCGCTCGTTACGTCTGTCCGCATTTATCGCACCTTCCACCAAACTGACAACTGACCAAAGACACCTCTTTTTATTTGTATTTTATTTATTTTTGTTTTTTGACAAAGGTGTTGGGTGTTGCATATCTGGGGAGTGGAGGAGGGTCAGTGCCCGACAAAAATCAGCAAAAAATCATTTCCATTTCGGGGGGAGCATTGACTTTTATATGGAGTGAGAGTCATCGTCAAAATATGAGAGACAACAACCGAAAAGTGAAAGAAGTGCATTCCATAAAAAATTCCTCCAGAGAGAAACTAAATGCCAAATGGATTCCGAATAAAATACATTAAGGAATTCTCAACAAAAATTTGAAGAATACCCAGAGGGAATTATTTTAAATCTGGTGACGTAAAAGGATTATGGAAATCTGGAAATCGTTTGAGGGAAACTTCAATTATTTCCTTGGTTTTTGACATTTTAATAAATGCTTTCTGGGGTTTTCTAGCAAATTCGATTGTTTTTGGTTTGACGGTTAAAAACATGTTTTTGAAAAAAGTTTTATGATATAATTTAATTATACACATTTTAAAAGAGAAAATATATAAACAGAGGTAAATTCCTTTTCTAAAATAAGTGCTGAAGAATATTTTCAAAGAATTAGATTTCCCTTTTATTATTTATATTATTTATTAAATATATTTAATGTATACAGTATACATAATTCTGTTAAAGAAAGTACAACTAATTTTGTCTGACATTTATTTCCCACATTTATATAATAGTTCCTGGAAAATCTAATTTATTAAATTAATAAAAACCTCTATTTCCAAGTAACTAGTTCCAATGCTCTGCTAATGAATTGTTCATATAAATTGCACACAAGTCATTAAAATTTAAATTGCTTGTGATTTGTAAGCTTTTGCAAGACACTACAGACATTTTCCCACATAGGATTGTGCTCGTTATCTACG